AACCAGGGACATTTTTTAGAAGGAGTTTTCTACTTTTGAGTGATATACAATTTGTTGCCAAAACATTTAATTTCTTAAACTTTACTTGTCCAATAACTCAACAATTTCAACAACGATGGACAACTATCTAATAAGGTTTTCATACGTTACGCTTAATACGCAAAGAAAACCACTTACAACTCTCATTGTATTTGCTTAGGAAACATAACATTCTTGTAATTGGAAGTTTACGTCAACTGGCTTTTCAAAAGGAATAATTGAAGTCAAAATTGGAAAAATTTTTTAAAAATTATTAACGAGAAAACAATGATAGCATTTTAGGGACATGCTGTATTTCTCATTCATTTACACAATTTTTTATTCTCCCATTCCCAAGCTGCTTAACTGTTGTATTCCCAGTCATTTCTTGAAATTGGCAAACAGTTGTTCGAGAATCCCCATACATTGCATGAGTGGAGACGTAAAACGAAAGAAGTTAGCAAAAGAAAGATGTATTCGTCGAGGAAAAACGTCTACAACCATCTCATGATAACAAATAGTTTTAACATAATGTTTTTATTTCTCTCCATAATCCGGGCAAATGGTTGTTTGATGAAACTATATTTGTTGTTTACTATCATTCATCATAGAGAGATAAAAGCATTACATATTCAGAGAAAGTGTTTTTAAGGCTTTGCGAAAAGAGCCGCGTGTGGCAGGCATCATGAAAGGGTGTTATCTCGGGAAGTAAACATTCCTTTCCTCTTCATGCTCCTCTGCCCTTTCTTCTTAGCCAGTTGAAGTTCAAAAGTCTCGAAAAAGTGACGAATGATTAGTAACCTACTTGTTTGCCCTTTGGCTGTAAGCCAGCTTTTCGAAATTTTTTGCTTTTCCTACTTTTTTGCTCATGGAGCGAACAATTTCGTCTCAGCTACTTCCCTACTTCTACGTAAAGAACTGACCATCACTCCATGATATTCAGTAAAATACAGAAAACAGGCATACATAAGAAATACGTTTGAATTAAAGAAGAAGTTTGCTTCTTTTAGTTGTTTTGGTAATGTTGCAACTTATTTTAATTTAAACTAAAAAAGGATTTAGAGATGGATTGAGCGTCTCAGTCCGTCAGTATACCATATCACTAGAAAACCTGTATTAAACTCCATTTCATGTTTCACGACATCTCCATTCGCAGGATAGGAGAAATTGTGATCTTTTTCAGATCACACAAGAGGGCCTTTCTGATTGACGTTTTTACTTATTACGATCATTTTCACTGGAAATATAGAAAAGATATCCTTGACTACAGTTTGCGAAATGATGAACAATATTTTACTGACAACTGTAAACATATTCTAAATTTTTAGTGGATTCTGAGGTTAATGGAAGGCCAAAAAGATTTGAGTCTTAATCTGAAGGAAGTTTGTCCACTTTCACCAAAATGATAACGCTGTTACATTGAATTCATGGCCATCTGATCAAAATCAATCTGTTAGGACTAACCCAGTTTACGTGACAAATGAATAACCTCATGATTAAGCTGGTTGAATATCGGGTACATAGGATAATATGTGTTGACAAAGCTCATTGTAAGAGGTTATTCAAGGCAAAATTATCAGTATCTTTGCATAGTCTAGTTCATCCTACATAGCTTTCTAGCCAAAAGCCAGCCCGATGCCTGCCGTCTTCGTAGTGGAAAGTGATGTGAAAAAGGAAGACATCCAATTTCATTTTGTTGACGGGAGCACGAAAATAACCACGGACGAGATCAGTGAACAATCCTAGATAGATAGGAGAGAAGACTCTCAAAATAGTTTATTTATTTGACCTGTGTCAGCCAGTAAACACCTCTTGCTGAGATTGTGAATGAATAGGCGGGGTTCGCCGAAGGGAGTGTGGGTGGAAGTCACAATTCTAGGTAGGTGACTTTTCTCACTGTATTTTTCTTTTCTGACCGTTAGGAGACTTTGGAATAGCGAAAAATTTCCGGAAGCTTGTGATCGTTACCTTCTTGTGCCGTAAAACAACAACCTAGTTTTTGCATTTTTGATGCAGACTGCGATGAGTGCTGAGAGTGGCACATGCATTAGCTTCACGCATGCAAGTATCTCCCCTTTGGGCACACTGGCTTTTGCGAGTCGCCGATATATCACCTTCACGTAATTTTTTGAAAATGGGAAGAAACGTTGGCCGAATAAAGTGGTACACCGATGTGATCACGACTAAATAAGGTAGGATAAAAATTGCAGAATCTTTTAAAAAATGCTTTCAAACAAAAATGTGCTCAGTTTGCTTTTTCTGCGGAAGTGTGCTAGAGATAGTTCGTTGCTTCACTGAAGCTTAAGGGCTCTAGTGATCAGACCATCGAAGACGTAAAAGCTAAAAACATGCGTAGCATCATATTTTCTTGTGCCCTTGGAGTCCGGTCGG